AGTTCTAATGCAAAGCAATAGCATTCAAAGGTACAACAATAAAGTCCAGACACCCAGACCATGCTGGCCCATTACATTTTGGGACGTAGTTGTTGGAAATGTTTGAGATTCCAAATTGTTTTAGGAATCAGAATCACAGAATCACTGCTGGCTAAAAGATTCCCTTTTTTTTTAATTGACATCAGAACAAGGGGAATCGTGGGAAATGGGTTCCTACTTTATAGGAAATGAGTTTTGACTCAAATGTAATCTCGATCCCTTACGGTCACTCTGGTATCGAGTTTCTAACTTATTTGTAACCCATATAGAAACGAGATTCCTTCATATATGGGATTGTCATTCCGACATCTTTGGAATCGATTTTTTTGATGTATTTGGAATCAAGTGTTCAAAAATGCGGAGGCACCTGCCTAGGCGTTTGGGGGCCTGGCCACCTAGGCAGGCACCCAAGAACAAGGAGAGGGCTAGAGGAGTGCAACATGTTAACTCATAGTATTTTTTACAGCACATATTTACGTATTCATTATTAATATTTTTATTTTTATAAACAACTACCTTAAAAATGTTATAGTATTTTTATAAACAACAGCACACGTGTAAGTATTTATTCGTTATATGGCCATCTATGTCCAACGACTTACACGTGTAGAAATTTTGACAGCACACTTGTAAGTGTTTATTAATATTTTTTTATAAACAACTGCCTTAGATGGACAATTGTCTATGTGTTTATTAATATTTTTGTAAACAATTGTGTTGTATGTCCATCTATGTCCAACAACTTACACGTGTAAAAAGTCGTGAGCACACTTGTTAGTGTTTATTAATATTTTTATAAACAAGTGCCTTAGTTGGACAGGTGTCTATGTGTTTATTAATATTTTTATAAACAACTGCCTTATAAGTCCATCTATGTTCAACAACTTACATGTGTAGAAACAAATTTCCACATGGCGCTGTATCTTTAGAGGCTACAGTACCATCCCAATATTTTTATAAACAACTACACACATTGAGGTATTTATTTGTTTATTCATAGTTCCCTTGCCCAACGCATCTAAGTCATAGTATTGTGGAGAGCACACATGTAAGTATCCATTGGTTTATTAATATTTTTTACAGCACATGAAAAGGGCTTGGGTCTAGATGGTGGAGGCTAGGTTTTCATAGCCCAACATCTCAAGTTCCATTCGTATGCAACCATGTCAAAAAAAAAAGTGTAAGATTGAACCTTTTCAGTTGAATTTTAGCCCTTTTACTGTGAACATTATTCTAAGAATTGAAATTCAAGGATATTGCCCCATTAGTCGACCTTGTTCCAAGGTGCCACCTAGGCACCCGCCTTGAGATGACCGCCTAGGCGGCACCTAGGAGCAACGATGCTTGGGGCAGCTGCCTAGGGCCCCACTAGGCATTTTTGCTTTCGAACATTGGGTATCGAGATTCATATCAGTTTGGTAATCAAGTTTTGACGCACATGGAAATCAAGATTTATAACTGTATGGGGTCAAGTTTGAACCCCTTTAGAATTAGGATTCCTACATCAACGACAACTCGTGCCTTAACAACTTCGAACCTCGTCAAGCAATCGAGGTCAGAGGTCTTTAAGACTTAAAGAATGTTCCAAAGATGTAAAGACAATGAATTGAGTTATTAACTATTGAGCCTCAAATAAAGTATCAAAAACGTTTTTTGACAAGGTTACATAGGAATGGAACTTGAGACGTTGTGCTATGAAAACCCAGCCTCGACCGTCTTAACCCAAGCCCGATTCCTAACACAGCATCAGAATTAAGGTCCATTAAGAGACGCGTAGCACCAAGGAAATTGTCTACAAAAGGTACAAATCTTATCTCATGAATTTTTGAAATTTGATTTTGATTTCATTATTATAGTTCAAAATATAACTGTTTGTGCCATGGTGTCCTATTTGAATCCTAGTATCAAAGCCAGTCCTAGCACTATTAGAAATGTGATCCAAGTCGGTCCTAGCACCATTAGTACTCTTATAGCTGCCTTTGTCAGCTGCAAAAGATATTAGAATCATAGATGTTGAGAACTTCTTAATATAAACATTTGCCTTGAAAGTTGATTCGTGTTACAAATACTTCAGCACTTTATTCATCGGATTATTAGTTGGAGCACCTGTAAACCATTGGAAACAATGTTCTCTAACCGGGTTTCCAATAATTGAAATCAGAATTCGTAAATATTTGAGGTCAGATTCCATGTTCAAATCACATATTTGCACACCTATGAACATCAGTATTTGATTTTGTGGAATCAGGATTCCATAAATATTGGGATTGAGATTCTATGATGGTCGAAGTAAGATTCCATGTTGATTGAATCGCGGCTTCCAGCGCCTATGAACCGAAGTACTTGAGGGATTTTGGATTAAAAAAAAATCAATTCGAAATTCATTATGTGGAATCGGGAATCAACAAATGTGGAATCAAAATTAAAGAAAAGTTGGAATCAAGATTCCATACACACTGGGATTTTGAGATTCAGAAAAAGTTGGAATCAAGATCCCTAAAATAAAAAATCGAGATTCCTAACTTCAAGAAAATGGGTTCCATGAAGATTCTTTTTCGGAATCGTCGCATCGAGATTCCGAAGTGGAATCGCAACCTGGGCAGAGAGATTCCGGTAATTGTGGGACCACCACCTCACAAGGGAAAACATCCATGCAAGGTAAACTGAGATTACTAAGATCATCAGAACTAGATCTCAGCAAAGAACACACTAGACCTCAACAATCCCAAAAATACAACAATCAATTTATTCAAGAAAGCCATGATTCTTCAACTGATCGCCCATCAAGTAAGCTCCTCTAGGGTATAACGTACAACCAAAATGCACATATTCCTTATCTGAAAGGATGGCTGCTCTAATGCTTAATCACCTCACCACCAGTGTTCACGCATCAAAAAGTTTTATTAACTCACAATTCCCACATCGCCTGAAAAAAAAAAAATTTGAATAGACATCCCCTGAAGACTTGCAAGCAGGCATAGAGTTTTGTCATCTGGCAAGCAAAGGACAAGGCAATTCTTGAGCAACCCACCACCAGTGCTTACTTGTCTTAAAGTTAATAACTTCTATCACTCAAATTCCCCCACATTGCCTAAAAAAATTACAAATAGGCATTAGCATATGCCCTCTTGCAAGCAAAGGTCTGGACAACGAATTGCAAAGCAGAGATACCATCGTTGCAGGCATCATAGGAGAATATGCTCTAAATAATCACATAAAATAGAGGCTCCAAATAATACTCTACCACTGAAGTGTGTATAAGAAAATGATCAACAGTCCTGGCAGCTCTAGACATACCAAAAAATTCAGAAAAGGAAATCTCAACGTGTATATTATCACAAATCACAATATCTGCCAATCGCCTCCATCTAGCTAAAGGCCAGCACCATTTGGATGGGCTTGGCAACTTCCAAGGCCAAATATCTAGGAGACAAAGAAACACCCACCTGAAAAACCACAAAAATTCTTGAAGAGACCATCCAAAAGTTACCCATTTTCATAATCTTGCGTCAAGGTTCCCTCTCCGAGATTATGCAAATACTGCAAGAGAAGAAGCGCCATCTCTTCTTATAACCATATTGAGACGGGAGAATAGGCACTAGGAAAGTTACATTGGGAAGGAGCTCTAGTAAAAAGGGTAAACTGAAGTGAAAGAAGAGGCCAAAAGGGCAATAATAGTTCAAGGACACTAGTGTGAGGGGGTTTCAACGAAAAGTTCCAGAAAAAAGCATGGAGGATATGCAAGCAAACAGGATATTGGGGTTGCCAGGGATCATTAATTAGGGATGAATGGGGAGTATTTGCCCAAGAACCCCAACTTGAAGAACCAAGATGAAAGGGCAGTTAAAGGCTGATTAGAAAGAGGAAGTAAGGTGCACATGTCACGGGATTCCACAAGGCTACTTACTATAGGGGAAAACACAAAGTTGTGATCAACTGGTATTAGAACTGAAGGGCAACACAAGCTCTCAATCACAGGTGTCCACAGGGACCGAACCTGGACTACAAGAGTTAATGAAATGAACAACAAAATGTATATGCAGCCTTGCCAACTCAATTTCCAGATCCAGGTTATAAGGGATAGCTTCAAACTTCAAGAAATTTTATTTATGGATAAAAATATTTATAACTTTGCTCACTTGCCACAAATATAACAAAGGAAACACCAGTTCTCTTATAAACTTTTATCTTTCAACATCCATAAACTTTGTTTATGTAAATTTCTAAATTATTTTATTTATGGGTAGAATTATTTCACACATAGCAATCAAAGCATATCTCCAGTACAAACAAAAACGAGTGAATGCATAGGCGTGAACTCATACTCAGAGCCCTTTCAAGAACATAATGCACCATTATCGTTCCATGAAATTTAAGAGAACAGAAAGAAATTTAAAAGAACACTATACAGGTTCAAGCAAATGCAATGCAACCCAGAAATAGCTAAAACTACATCATAAGTATTCTACATCTTAAAGCATTGTAAAACATAAAGGCACAGATAGCATATTACACTGGCAAAGGAATGAAAACAAAGCCTTCCTCATACTATGCACAGTTTCACTTTTTTTCAGAAATAACAATTACAAGAAATTCTTCACAAGGTATTCAAACGGTTTGAGGTTCTACTCTTGCATACTTTCCTCCATTCCAAGCCATGGCTATAAAGGGAGTACGAAAAGACTTAATTATTTGAATCATAAACCACTGCTCCCTCAACTTCCTAAAAAGCCTAAACAGAAGATATTTGCTTATAGTCATTGGTAGAACTGTACAACCGAATCCAGGAACATCAGTAAAACCTTCAAACAGAGTCAGCTCTTTGTTTTTTTTTTGAAGAAAAGGTTAACTAACAGAGTCAACTGTTAATTTCTAACAAAGGCTTTTTATGACTATTCATGGAAGGCAAGGCCAGGACCAACAAATGTACAAATACAATGGAATGAAATAAGAGACCATACCTGTTTTGCCCAATGCCCAAATCTGGCTCCCTGCAACTGGAACCCTCTGGATGGGTATTGTTCGATGTAAGATCAAGTGCGTTAGAAATAAAATTATCAGATTTTAACTGTTCCTTGTCAGACATTTTTTCCAGTTTGCTATTATCCAATAGTTCTTTTCCTGGAAAAGCATCAGAAAACTCGCTCACTCCATGCTTGGATGCACCATGAGCACCATAATCATAAGATGACCTGCTTTTTTCCCGATTATCCTTAGATCTAGTACGACGATCGTCTGCAGGAGGACTACTCTCTTGATCACTGCCATGTGATTTATTTGTCTTAAAACGACCTTCAGATAATCTTCGTTCATGCCTCGAATGATTATCATCCCATCTGTCAATACTGTGATCTCTTGGTGAAGCCCTTTCTCTCTTTTTATCACTTCGGTGCCTGTGTTCCTTGCCAAAATCTTCTCTACATTTTTCGGGATACCTTCTGTCCTTATGCCTATCGACTCTGTGCCTTACTTTTTCTTGATCATCCTTAGAAGACAGATGACTATCATCACCATCCCGGTCAACTCCATGACACTGTTTCTTGTCATCAGTACCATCTCTCTTCCTAATCTGCTTTTCAAGCTCCTTTTCTAGACCAGGGTTGCGTAGTTCATCTTGCAATGGTGGTTCTGTAGTAAGTTGCATTATCCAATAACAAAGCAAATTATGTAGTGGATAAATCAATCCTACAATAGCAAGATGTTGCAGTCTAGACTTACAAGATAGGTCAGTATAAAAAAGTGAACTCATCAACAAGTACCTCCAAAAGCACAAAAGGAACAACCTGTCAAGTTCAAAACCTAAAAGCCTACTTCATATACCAAAAATAGAAGATGGGTGATCTTTTTAATCATCTTTTCATTTTGATTTGTGGTTGATGAACAAAGTGGTTGTCAAACTAAAGAGCATACTAACATACACCCTCACAAAGCAAAATGCCTATCTAAAACCTCAGCTGAATAAAGGACAGTCAAAACATAATCAAAGGAAACATGATGGAGCTTCTCCATGACATATGGGTAACAGTTCAGAGGTTCAAGAACAAAGAAACAGAAACCCGCTTGGTCCTGGTACATGATCATTGTCTAGTAACAATATGTCATGTTAGTATCAAGACGAAATGCTAAACAGTTTATGGAGGGAAAATTGTTCTTATTCTTTATTTTTATTCAACTTTAAAGGATGTATATTATAGTTTGCTTTTAGGGCTTATTTTTAGGTTTTTAGTTTTTTTTGGGATTCTAGGGTTTTTATAATTTCTTTAAGTATTTCATGAGGATGGAGAACCAGAATGAGTGAGTGTAATTGAGATGAGGATGTTGAGATGGATGAGTGCCAAAACAAGACGGGATAGAATTCGCAATGAATCTATTCGAGAGAATTTAAGTGTGGCACCAATAGACGATAAAATGAGAGAAAGTAAACTTAGGTGAGCTAGCCATGTGTTGCGCCGACCAAGTACAACACTTGTTAGGAGGTACGAATTAGTTCAAGTGGAAGGATTGAAAAGAGTAAAGGGTAGGCCCAAAAGGACGTGGTTGGAAGTAATCCTAAAAGATATGAGGACTTATGGCCTCACTGAGGATATGGCCTTTAATAAAGCAGAATGGAGCACCAGAATTCATGTAGCCGACCCCAATTAATTGGGAAAAGGCTAAAATGAGGATGATGATGATGATAATTTATTTCATGAGTACTATTCACAATTACTATTTACGAGTATCATTCACGGTACTATTCATAGGGGTAAAACTGTCATTATAAAATTTATAATTACATTAGGACCTTTTGGTCAAAAGTTAATTGTATGGACAAATAATGTCCAAAACAATAATTTTTCAAAATAAATAAAAGCATGGATGGGCTAGAGAGTCATTCATGTATACACCTTTAAGAAAAGAAAAATTTTGCCTTGTAAATGAAGCCTAAAGCTTGAGCCCTAGGTGGGAGAAAGCTTCAAGGTTTCTCCACAATTACTTGTGTCGTCAATGTGCTTATTGCTCATTTTTCTATGTTTCTTCAAGTTCTTCTGCATCAAGTGGTATCAAAGTTCTGATACCACTTGATGCAAGGAAAATCGAGAGAACAACAAATTTAGCTAGAAACAAGCCAAATACAAGCAATTTTGGAGAACCCTAAGACTTTCTCCCACCTATGGCTCAAGCTTTAGGCTTCTTTTACAAGACAAAGTCTTTCTTTTCTTAAAGAGGAATACATGAATCACTCTCCAGCCCATCCATGCCTTTATTTATATTGAAAAATTATTGTTTTGGACATATTTGTCCATACAATTAACTTTTGACCAAAAGGTCCTAACTTAAGTATAAATTTCGTAATGACAGTTTTACCCCTGTGAATAGTACCCATGAGCAGTACTTATGAATAGTACTTGTGAATAATACTAATAAAATAAATAAAAAAACTATAAAACCTAGAATCCCTAAAAAAAACTAAAAACCGAGAAATAAGTCCTAAAAGAAAACTATAATATACATCCTTTAAAGCTGAATAAAAATAAAGAATAAAAACAATTTTTCCCTTCATCAACAGTACAAACCAAGAACATAACCTTAGCTAACCTGGGACTTACTCTCAACTAGCAGAAAGTTCCAATCATTAGAGGTTTTTCGAGGCAATAACTCAATTCTACTAGTAGTAGAAGAATGAAGAAGACGAAGAATAATCATGAAACAGATGCATGAGAAAAATTACAAAACTCAGAGCTCAGCAAGGCAAATGCAACAAATTTATCACAGAAAAGTAGAACTAGAGCACTTGTGAACTGTAGCAAGATTACAGTGTGTTCCAAGTTGCATAAAGGCAACACTTCACAAGCAGTTGTAAATTGAACAAACACATAAAAAGGGAATTCTGTAGTTAAAAAAATGGAAGAGCTCCAAGAATTCATCAAATCACCCTTGCCTGCAAAATGTTAAATCCCTGGATCACCATCCACAGGTTGCCAAGGATCCTTCTTTTTCTTTTAACCATCAAGATCGATTTCCTTTCGCTAGGTGAGACTTCTTTCTTGGGATAAGGTATCCAATATTTATGATTCCTCAATTTTGTTGGGGCAGAATTTCTCCCTGCTCTAGAAAACAATCATCCAGCAGCATTTTAGCTGAATCTTCCACAGCACCAACAGGCACCATCATCCAAACACCATAAATGGGCCCCTTGGTGCTTATCCACAACTGTTGCACCACCATACAAACGCCACAAATGGGCCCCTTGGTGTGTATCCACAACTCTCCAACTGTATGGATCCCCTTTCGCAACCTCTTCCTGGATTTAGTACAACAGCATGCATTCTCATTCACCACCACCAACTGCACATTCTCCCTGATTTCAACACCCCAGCTGTGACCTTTAGCCATTCTTTCTTCTTAATTCGGGCCTTTATTTTGTGAAACTTCTTAATGAATAGCCCCTCCAATTTTTGTTGGATAAGGTATTATCTGCATCAAATCTTTGTCCATATATTCAGAGTGTTCTAGTTTCTTAAGGATGTGTATGGAAGTATATTGAGGCCCAGTCTGGAATTTCATGGAAATTTAGTAGTTCTCCTCGGAGTCATTACATGCCCTTGAAATTTAAGAGATAAGCACTGGTTTTTGCTTTTCCTTGACTACAGAATCGTTGAATCTATCGCTGCTGTCAGCAATGAAAGGTCCCAGGCCCAATTGAAACCCGTAAGAGGCGGCCTTGACTTGGTCCAGAGTCCAGACCATAATAGAGATTAATGGATGGAAGATTTCAACACAGGGGAAGAGAGGCAGTCCCCTCCAGACACTGGATCTGCCTCCTCCAACCTATTCATTGTCAAGGTTCCATTACTTCCAAAGAGGCTCGGTGATATCCAAGAGGAGACTTAGGACAATTTTGTTCTCTGACTGCCACCTTTCAAATAAGGTACCGATGGAGATTGCACAGGGCCAACCCAAACTCGAATCCAGGCGACAAGGCCAACCTTCCACAAACATGCACCAAGATGAATGAAGCAAAGAAGCACATGAGGCACACACAAAGTATAAAGGATTCTAGCCTGCTCTTATCAGCCCTACTTGTCATATACAGCCACGAATGCCCATTAAGGTTCTGGGCAAGGGGTATATGTGGCCCCCTGTATGCACCCATATACTGAACCGTCAATTGCATAACCCTTGTGGCCTGCATCACCATTACTGCCCACCATGAAAAAGGGGTCAATAACCTGGTCAACCCAGTCCACGGGTCATTACAGCCCATGCATGCAATTCTAACATGCATGATCAGTACAAAGCCATTAATGCCTACAAAGATCCACTACATGTGCATTCATGCTCTCGCAAGAATGATCATTACAAAACCATTAATACCCATAGAGACCTAGAATGTGCACCCACGCTCTCTTACATAACCTATGACTATTACAGAAGCCCATGTCAAGGGAATTTAAACAACTTGTATTCAAATCCCACACTTGACCAGTGAGGCCAATAACCCAGCAAAATCAAGTTTACGGTCAGCCACACCTCTTGCACATCGACCACGCCCATGTCCCGTCAGCTCATGCTACCTATCATTATCCGAGCCTTATCCCAACTACTTGGGATCCGCTACATGAATCTTGTTCCGTCATTTTGCTCAATCAAGGGTCATGCCCTCAATCAGCCCATAAGTCACCATATCTCTTCTTACTACTTTTATCCATGTTCTTTTGAGCCTTCCCCTTGACCTTTTAGAGTCTTCCACTTGAACCAAAGCACCCCTCCTTAACGGTGTTATTCTAGGTCGACGTTGCACATAGCGAGACCACCTAAGGCTATTTTCCCTCATTTTATCATCTAATGGGGCGACCCCTAAGTTTCCTAAGATGTATTTATTTCAAATTTTATCTTTTCTTGTCTTGTCACTCATCCATCTCAATGACTTCATCTCAACACACTCATACTATGGATATGTTGTTCCTTGACTCCCCTCAACATTCTATCATAAAGCTTGGTTGGTCATACAACCGTCCTATAGAACTTTCCCTTTGGTTTCATTGGAATACAACCAAAAGCACATCTCCACGTCATCCACACAGATCTAATTCTAAGTGCGACATCTTCTTCAATCTCTCCATTCTCATGTATTATCGATCCAAGACATCGAAAACAATCTCTTTTAGGTACTTATTGACCCTCAATCTTAACTAATTCCTCATTTTTACTCCTATTATTAATAAACATGCATTCTATATACTCTATCATAGTCCAGCTAATTTTAAAACCTTTAGATCCTAGAGACCCCCTGCAAAGTTCAACTTCGTGCTGACACCATCTCTAGTCTAATTAATCAAAGCTATGTCATCTACAAATAATATACATCATAGTACCTCATCCTGTAGATGCCTAGTTAGCTCGTCCATAAGCAATGAGGTATGTGCCCAATGCTGACCTTTAGTGTAGGCCCATTGTAACTGAAAACTCACTTGTCTCTCCACTAGTAGTCTTCATATTAGTTAGTGCTCCCTTGTACATATCCTAAACCATGTCAATATATCATCTTGAGACCCCATTCTTTTCCAGCGCCACCAAATTATCTCTCTGGGTAACCTATCGTATGCTTTCTCTAAATCAATAAAAACCATGTGGAGGTCTTTTCTCTTCTCTCTAACCTTCTCCAATCAATTGCCTAAGTAGGAAAATAGCCTTAATGGTTGACCTCCCTGACATAAATCCGAACTAATTTTCTCATCCACCTGTTTCATGCTTTAGTCATTGTGCAATCACTCTCTCTCACAGTTTCATAATGTGGTTCATAAGTTTGAGAACCCTTGATAGTTCGTATAACTCCTTTGTTCTTGTAAATAGATGCCAAGATATATTTTCTTTCTCAAAGCTTATTTGACTTCTGATATCCTATCTATGACCTCCGGTCTCATTTATGTCAAAGATACTCCTAATGTTGTGCCCCAGAGTGGTCATCATTTAACAATTTTTTGGAAAAAAATTATCCACATCTCATCGACCTCGTCATTCTTCACCAAGACCCTCTGATCCTCACTTTTAATGTATTTAATATTATCTAAATCCCTACACTTCCTTTCTCTAATTTTTGCTAGCTGGAAGACATCTTTTCTCCTTTTCTTATCCCCAATTTACTGTATAGATCATCATATGCCTTAAGATTAGCCTTACTTATTATTTTCTTCACGTTCTTGCATTTTTATATTTTTCTAAGTTTTGATCATTTTCTATTCTATTGTCAAGCTTTGCAACATAATTGTTTTCCACTAATAGCCTTTTGAACGTCATCACTCCACCACCAAGTGTCCTTCTTTAAATGTCTTTTCCCTCTGGATTCTCCTAAAACTTCTTTCACCGACTTCCTTACTACAAACAACCATCTCTATCCACAAGACAATAACTTTGACCTCAAAATTCTATATTACTTCTTTTACTAATTTATTCCTAAGTATGTTTTTTCCCTTTTTAAACTCCAAGACCTTGAACTTGGATACCTATTAATTTAAGTCCTCCTCTTCCATCTCTTTACATAAATATCCACAACTATGAGTCTATGTTGCGTGGTCAAACTCTCTCATGAGATAACCTCACAGTCTTTACATGATCCTTGTTCGGCCTCTTTAATTAAAAAAAAGTCTATCTGGCAATATGATAAGGATCAAGATGAAGATGAAGATGTTTCGAGAAAAGGATCTTGCTCGTCAAGAAAATGGAGAGAAGGCAGCAAGGGGGCTGATTAAAATCATGGCCTTTGAAGATCTCAAGGATATTGAAGAGGTGGAGCATTCAAGAGATCTAGGGCATTGGAATCAGAATAGCACATCGGAAGTGTCGTTGACTCATGAACTCCAAATTGTGGCTCAGGTTTCAAAGAGTAACGAAATAAATGTCGAGAGCATAGTTAGCAAGTAGGGAATAACAATATATTGGCTCACGACAAAATCGAGATTAAATCAATTTCGAGCAAAAAAAATGGAATACAGATCGAAAAGAGTACTATAAGTAAAAACATCGTGGATATATCAGATTGGGATAAAAACATCGGACTGAAAAAGTCAGATAGGTAAAATCTTACAATTTGCAAAAGCCATCAATAAGTAATGTATCCATGAAATTTTACTAATCTAATATAATAAAATAAATTAATTTAGATGTCTCATTCCATGATCCTTATTAAATACAAAACAAGGGAAAAAAAATCATAAAGCATGGTTGACAACTCAGATCCCTGCAAAAACTCACGCCCAAAAATCCTCTCATCGAACTTATCCCAGCACAATTCCTATTCCTAAGAAAAATAAACAAAAATAATAATAACACTAAAATTTTGACAAATCTTTTTCTGCATCAATTTCAATTCTAATTTTTGGGTTTATAAGGGATTCTAGGTTTTTTTCAGATTTTTATTTACTATTCACTAATACCACTCATGGGTATTGTTCATAGATATTGTTCATGGGCTGTTGTTCAAAGGGGTAAAATTGTTGTTACAAAATTTAAATTTAAGTTAAGACTTTTTGGGTCATTTTATGTATGGACATTTAATGCCTTTGAACATTAAATTATAATATATAAGAGGTGTGTAGGGCCTTGAGGGAGTCATTCCATGTGATTTTTAAAATTGAATACGAAAGAAATGCTTAGGCTTTTAGAACCTAGCTTGCGGTGAGGAGGAAAACCTAGGTTTCTCCTAGTTATTGCTTGTGTATGGTTATTTTCTTGCTGATTTTTACTGTTCTTCAAATTTTTATACATCACTTTTATATGTTCCACTTTTGTATATTATTAAATATTATCTCACTTTTTATAGTAGGTGTTTGCAATTGCTAAGTCGTAAGCCATAGTAAAATCAAGAATAGCATTCCCATTTTATTTCTTTCCCCAAATCCATATCATCCATGTACCATTTCATATCCTCTACTATACATGACCATTTAAGGCCCCTCTTAACAATGTCCTCTCTCCATTTGGTATTCCTCTGACTAGTCCATCCATATCCTCTCAAAATTGTCTTTTAATTCTATCCCCTAGTCCTACTTATGGCGCATAAGCACTAATTACATTAATTATCCCTTCCCTAACATAAGTTTAATTAGTATGAGCTTGTCACCGAATCTCTTAACATTTACTATTTTATCCTTTAAATCTTTGTCCACCATTATACCTAAGTTATTTCTATTATTACCCTTTCCTATATACCGAAGTTTATATCCATCAATTTCCTTAGTTTTTGCCCCTTCTTACTTAGTTTCCTATAAGTAAGCTATGTTAACCATCCTCCATCTCATTGTATCACTAAGACGAATCCTATAAGTAAGCTTGTTAGAGTTCCTAGATTCCATGTAGCTAGACGAATCCTATTCTCTTGAGATAACTTCTTTACCCACACTCGTCCAAAATGGTACACGAATCCTTACTTGCTTATCACCGCAATCAGGCATCGTTGCGACGCATCGCTTCCAGGGAATTCCCTAGCTCACCGTTGCTCATTGTTCACTGCACTCAAGTGCTAGTGCAACATGTTGCTTATAGAGAATACCCTAGCATGAGCATAAAATATGGATCAAGATTCATGATAGAGATATGGCAAAGGTTTTACGCTGGCTGCCAACTCAACACAACCCTCCTTTCTCATCTAGCCTTGGGACCTGTCATGTTACCCATGACTACCCAAAAACGTCATGCTACCCATGACTGGACCTTCGAGCCTCGGTCTATTGATCTTAGTGGTCCACCAAGCCCCAACAACTTAGTCGTATGTCCGGGCCTTCTTGCCTAACACCTCATACCAAAGGTCATTTTCACTAGCTCACGTATGGATGCGCATTTGTGCCCCACTCCCGACTCCTGCCCAAGGTTAGTCAAGAACAAAGACTCTCCCTTGTATAGGTTTGTTGTTTAAAGAACTAACCTACTAGGTGAGATAGTTTTTTTTTTTTTTTTATGACACGGTTACATAGGAATGGAACTTGAGAGGCTGGGCTATGAAAACCTAGCCTCTACCATCTTGACCTGAGCTCGTTTCCTAGCACAAAGTAAACTGCCCAAAAAAACACAAGTTAAACCGCCCAAAGTAACACAAGTTCGTACAAGACTTGCGGGTCCTTTATAGGCTGTTAACTTGTTTTGTTGCTAAGGGAGGCACAATGCACCTTGCTTAGCTCGCATGCATAATACTAAAAAGGCATTATGACAAAGGATCACTTCTTGCCCAATGGAGACATCATTGGCCTATGCTAATTGTGGCCAAAATCCGGTTGATAGTAACAATCCGCAAATAGGTGAAAGAAGTTGGAGTCTCATGCAAGAGCCAATGGACAGCCCGGATGTAAGCTTAAATTAGTGACAGAATTCCCAAAGCCAACCTCAATGCAGGCAAGGTGAGCGGGCCCAAGAGTAGCTAAACCTCGAAATAAGGACGCCATAAAGTTGATGCTCTCACTATGCTTTACAACAACGCCATCAAAGCTTTCAAGCATTAACAGGGAGCTTGATGTGGACAGTTTTGGTACCACACCTTCTAGAATGCATGAATTTTTGTCTATTAGCCCTGGTCTGGGCCTTGTAGCCATGTCCTCATAGGGCTGGGCCCAAAACAAATGAAAAAAACAGAAGAAAAAACAAGAAAAAAATAGGGCTGGGACGGCACCGAACCTAGCCCAACCTTCTAGCCACAAACTGTGGCCCAGGCCTACTTTTTTGGGGCCAAGCCGCCCAGCCCATTGCTATCACCCACAAACAGACCAATCGACAGAGGTTGTGAATCAAGGTTTGGTAGACCAACTACGGAGCCTAGCCGGAGACAAGCCTTGTCAGATGGATGAGATCCTGCCTTAGGCTGAGTGCACTCACAAGTCACAACAGCACTGTCAACCAGTTGGGGGAATTCTCCATTTAAGATCGTGTATGGGCAACCACCAAACAAAGTGTTGGATTTGGTTCCTCCTCAAGAAAGGGAGCAGACCAGGATCGCACAAAGGCACTAGCAGAGCATCTCCAGAAGGTCTATGAGAAGGAAAGACAAAAGCTTGAAGAGAGGATAACGAGTACAAAGTTGACGCAGACCAGCAACGTGAAAGGAGTTTAGTGAAGCTAACTTAGCAAAGGTGTACGTGACTTGGTGATGGCACAACCGTGGCTGAGAGCTTCCCATGATTAAACATAGTAATCATTTAAAATGAAGAAGGCATAATGAAAGATGAGGAAAATGGACATATGAATGGTTGGCTTACCAGATGACTTTGTTTCACGGGCATTCACCTGTCCTTCTCCAGAACTATCTCCTTTAGTTTCTTTCTTTCTGTATGATTCATCTACCTTTGTTGCAATGGTCATCAAATCATCCAATTGCTTGTCCACTTTCAATTCACTTCTATGCTTGTCCTTTTCTTCACCCCTTTCCTTTCGATCTTTCAACCCAGTCTCCTTTCTCGAAAACCCATTCTCAGATGATCTCCTTTTCACCTCGCCATTATTTGTACTCCTTATCTCTTCTTTTCCTATATTTCCTGAGGAATCCTTCCCCTTCCCATTCCCTTGCCCTCTGCCGCCAATATTTTCCTGTCCTTTCTTCAAAATCTTGTAATCTCCAGCTGAAGCCACCTTCAAATCTTTCTCCACCCTTACCCCGTGTTTTTCTTTCTTTGTCAACCCAACATCTTTCTCTGAGTCACACAAAATTTCTGCCCTTTCACTTGAGCTGCTCTTTATGTGTATTTCTTCATCCATGTCCATAATAGACTGCAATGAACCAGGAAGATCGGCCAAAACAACAGTTCCACACTTATTGATTGAAATGTCGAATTTCTTATCACAAATGCTAGCTTCTTTTGATGCAGTCCCTGTATACTCGACAAAACCCAAATCATTCCCAGTGAAATTATCCCCATTCCATCGTTCTGGTTCCACGAAATCGATGGATTTCTCCTTCTCCTTCTCCTTCTCCTTCTCCTTCTCCTTCTCTTTCTCCTTCACCTTCTCCTTTTTTCTCTTTGAATTGCGAAAACCTTCATCCAATTCTTTGTTACCTGTTGCAAAACACTCCTTAGAAACCATGGATTCTTGCTCATGTCTCCTTTTCTTCCCCGAACTCAAAGACTCGTGCTTATCAACCCTGCAACTTCTAGAACCAGAGGATTCCTCCCTGTAACTTCTCGAATCCCTTTCATCCCTGTCTGATTCCACAGCTATCTTCAAGCTGCTCTTGCTTTGTTTGTGCGATTTGTGGCGTGATCCACGAGCCATAACAAGGATGAAACAAAAACGTAGATAGAGAAAGAGGCAAAAGGCTCCTCCCCTTTCTACACCCTAAATTCGCAAACATAATTGCATAGAAATGAAGCTTACCCCAAAACCGCCATGGAAGCCATCCGAAAGCTCGCCGGAAAATAAAACTGCCACCGGAAAACACACGGCGAGAGAAGAGAGAGAGGCCTGAGTCCGATCCATGGTATGGATTATGGAATTACAAACCGCCGCGTAGCCGACGAATAAAAGAAGAGATTGTTTGTTGACACAGTGAGAGAACTTGGAGAGAGAGAGACGACACAAGGGTCGCGCTCGCGTGTGCGGCATCTACACGAGTGTACGACGGTATATGCCATTTATTACAGGGAGCAAAAATACTCTGCTCCCGCGATAGCAAATTGTGTTTGTGCTCACAGGGCCAAAATACCGATGTAGGATGACTTTCTTGATATAAAAAATTAGTTCATATTTGAGATCATAAATAGTTATATCTGATCGTTTAAAAATCACCCGACCATGTGCAATCTTAAGGTATGATTTTTTCCGAACAAGTCTATGATATGTTTTCGAAATTTTCCTTTTCCTAGGTGGAATATGTCACATTTATAAAAATGGGATTATATATAATGAGATTATTTGCTTTTGACACAAAGATGTCACAGTTACGTACAATCATTTGATGTGAAATCTTATAGCTTGGGTGTGTCACAGATTTGAAAAAAAATCTTTTGAAATTTAAGTTTGGTCAATAAAATAAATGCAGCCATCTAATTTCACATCCAATGGTCAAGATTAATTGTGACACATAATTTCACATCCAATGGTCAAGAAATTGTAACACTGGCCTTCATGTACTAAAGATAAATAGTCACATTATATACTTTTCCGATAAACGTAGGGGTCTCAACTGTTAAACATCCTTTCTCCATAAGCTTAATGTGACCCGTGTGTGCAGGCATCCAGGTGGAGAGAGCCTGGTGCAAGGGTATGGACAGTGCGAACAACACTACCAGAGACCAGCGATGCGCAACCGAGGATTAACGACACTTTACCCTTGCAAGTATGCTCTTCTGCTATATGGTCAGATTGAGTGAGATTGAATTTGGCATCCAAGTAGCATCCACTTGGGCATTAGGTCCGCACAGGCTAGACAATGAAAACATCCCTATGATAAATGGTATCAGAGCCAGATTTAGCCTCACTCAATTCGACCACATAGTAGAAGAGCATACTTACAAGGGTAAAATATCACTAATCCTCGGTTGCACATTGTCGGTCTCTGGTCGTGTTGTCTGCATGGTTCGTACCTTTGCACCATGCTCTTTCCACTTAGATGCTTGCACACACACATCACACGGGTCACATTGGCAATAACCAACAAGCCAGTGTTGTGGCCTTCAGATTTCGAAAGACCCTTTGAGGTGCAAACAGATGTCACGGGGACGTATTCATTGTCAAGCCCATGTGGCCGTGATGCCCATGCAAATGGTACTTGGATGCTATGTTAAACCTCACTCGATCTAACCACATAGCATAAGAGCATTATTACAAGGGTAAAGCGCCGCTAATCCTCGATTGCGCTCGCCGGTCTCTGGTCATGTTGTCCACACTGTCTATACCCTTGCATCAGGCTCTCTCCACCTGGATGCCTGTGCGCACATATCACATGGGTCACATTAGGCTTACAAAGAAAAGGGGTCTAACAAGCCTCCACCGCCCCAAACTCTGACATCATTGTTAGATGCTAAGCCTTCATTAGGTCCCCACAAACCGCAGCTCCAACCTCCACCTACTTCACACCGGTAGCGTCCTACTTCACACCGCTAGCGTCCATGTCATCCACCAAGCCTCCCCATCATGTGCACTCGATGGGTCCTCCTGCAGCCACCATGCCCCTGAATGAAGGGGGATCTTCTGGCTCACATTTGCAAAGAGGTCAAGAAGGACCTGATAACCCAAACGTTGATGCAGCTAGTCCAGGAGGGGTGCACCCTGCGGTTTTGGCTAGAGGGTGGTGCCATGTATGCCAAAGGCAGACGCATCTATGTGCCTAACACTCATGGCCTAAAGAAGGAGTTGCTAAGGAAGTGCCATGATACCCAGCAGCTGGCCACCCGGGCCAAGAGCAGACCTTGGCCCTATTGTCCTGCGGTTTTTATTGGTAGAACATGAAGCAGGAGGTCAAACACTACGTGAAGACCTGCCTGATGTGCTTGCAGGGCAAGATTGACTGGTAGAGGCCAGCCGGTTTACTTGAGCCCCTTCTCATCCTTAAAGGTCCATGGACTTCATAAGTGGCTTTGCCCAAAATGCATTGGAAGAGCCAGTTCATGGTGGCGGTGGACAAGCTTTCAAAATACGTCACCTTCATGGCAGCCCCTTGGCATTGTTTTTTTAGGGCGGGACACTGCATCACAATTGTTCTTCACCCACCTGGTAAAATGGTGCGGTGCCGCGAAAGATATTGTGAGCGAACACATCGTTCGCTTCACAGTAAGGTTCTGTTTGACTTTATGGGGACTAAGTTAAACTCCTCCACGAGCAATTGCCCTCAGACCGTTGGCCAAACTGAGGGGGTGAATGCCCTACTAAATGAATTACTTCAACATCTAGCCACGGACCGACAACCCCTAGCGCCCCATGATGTGGCCTTGTACCAAGGTTAGTCTCAGTGCCCAGTAGCACCGCGATTGGCTAAGGCAAGGGCTGAGCAACTAGAGGAAGCTCGCGAAGGCCATGATTGAGTTGTCCAACGCATGAATAACTATGCCGATGCAGGATGGCGGCTCTTAGAGTTCCAAGTTGGGGATTGAGTGATGTCAAAACTCACTCCCCAGATTTGGAAGAAGATCAATGCCAAGGCGGCACACCGCGGCTTGATCCAACGGTACGATGGCTCGTTCGAAGCTACCTGGAAGAAAGGGAAGTTGGCACTTCCCAACCAGATCAAGGTTCATATGTTCTTCCATGTGGGCTTCTTAAAGACATATCACAATGATGGAGACCCAAGCAGGGTCCAAGCTCTACGAGCCCCACCGAACATAAGAACCGAATTTGAATATAGGGTGAAGGCCATTTTGGCCCAACGAGTACTGGGCCATTGTTTTTCATTTCAATTGACTTTAAATTGCTTGAAATCAAGCGCCCCTCAATTAGATTAGTGTGTTTCTTGTCTATATTTATTTGATAAGATTTTCTTATTGTTGTATCTTACTACATGAATCAATAGTACAATATTTGATAAGATTTTCTTATTGCTGTATCTTATGACATGAATCGATAGTACAATATTTATGTAGTTCCAATTTGTACAGGGAACAAATAATTTGTTTATGGTTCTCTCACATATTTACTTCATCCTCAAATTATACGAGTTGGGTGAATATATGAGCTATTCCAAAGTTCTCATTGGTCATCTGGTTTTAGATGGCATAGAAACTAATTGGTCACCTTCTCTGGCTTGACAACTTCATTTAAGCTCATAAATAGTGATGATGGTGTTATATATTGTGTAATTTTGGGGGCTAGGAACTCTCTCTCCTTAGAATGGGTGAAATTGGTTGGAGAATTGGAGTAGGATGACTATTGAAACCCAACGCTTCTAGGGTTCAATATGTTTGAATTATTTTTTTCTATAGAATGGGTGAGATTATTTTGGGGGGGCTGGGAACTCTCTCTCCTTAGAATGGATGAGATTACTTGGAGAAATGGTTGAATGGGCTGCAAGTATCCGTTTTAGTGTTTGTTATTGCCAAAATACCGAATACTTTTTGTTATTACTGATATGTCGGTTTTTTGGACTTCATAACAATTTTTGTTTTTAAAGACGAAACTACCTATTCTGTATTTTTCAAAAAGGACAATTTTTGGTTTTGAAAAACTGAAAATCTTTCTCTCTCTTGTGGGTCCTTTGCATATTCTCTTTTTACCGCTCTCTCTACTAAAACTGGTAGTTTCATTTTTTTAAAAAAAAATGGTTATGAATTCCAAAAAAATGACATATAAGTGATAACAGAAGGTATTCGGTATTTTGGACTAAAACAGATATTTACTTAATTTTTTCTTTTTTATTTTTATTTTTTGCATAAGACAAAGAGAGATTTCATATCCCTCTACATTATCTCAGGTATGTTTAATTTTTGTTCCATTTTGAATAAATTTTTTCAATAAAAATTGTTTCCTTGTTCAATTTTTATTGCTTTTGTTAATGTTTTGATTGATCTCGAGAATTAGGTTTGCATTATAATGACTTTTTAGTGTGGGATTTATGCTCGTTTCTCTATTTCCATGTCTCACATGATGATGCCATGTTCTTGAACCAAAAAAAACATTTTGTAGGAAATAAAATTAGAAATGTATCATATTGGACAACATAAGCTTCTGAGATAGACAGTGAGTAATTTTATTTATCCCCAAAAGGGGTTATGGATATTTATTTCCTTTAGATGTTTAAGGTTGAGTAAATCAAAATATTGTAATACTTTTCTGTGAAATATGTGAATTTGATTATTTTCACAATCTTGAGTTGTTGATGCATTTTTTTTTTTCATCGTTCCCATGGTTATGTGCCTTAGGGAGATTGATTTAGTGCAATGTGGTCAAATGGGGGTTTCAAGTTCGGCAGCCCTATTTTTAACATGGAGCAATAGTAATCATGAACTTTCTCCATTGAGTGTGGGAGACCCAACTTCCAGCTAAATATCTACTGCATTTATTGCGAAAGCACAACATCATTGAGCTTTCTCCATTGAGCTTACACAGTAGAAGAATTTGAATATTAATTCCATCATTCAAGTTGTACACTCTTTTAATATTAAAGTCAATTATCCATCCCAGTGTCTGAGCATCTTTATGGACGACTTTATTGTGGACCACATCCTGGTGCCTAAATTATCTTTGCTTTTCAACATTTTCCTTGAAAGGAATACTTACACTCTGCATAGTTTAAGGATGTAAGCACCCTGTTTTTCTCCTTGTAATACTCTTCACTCAGCACAATGAATGTTGTTTATCTGGCTAGTGGCTTGGTGTCCTTACTGTTGCACCCATGGTCCTCAAGCTATAATTCATTCGTGTACTTGGAGTAAACCTGCATATTCAATGGAAAAGGATAATGTAAATAGGAACCACATCAACTAGATGAGTGCATTGTCTAGTTTTTGGTTAGGAAAATACCAGGTACTGATTTAAATTAAATAAACAAATAACATGCAAGTGTCTCAAAAGTTGTAACATCTCTGCCCATGCCAGATACAAAATACAGGTTCACAGATGTGCATAGTGAGTCAATAACCTCATGGCTAGAAGCTTC